AGCTACTGAGCGGCGTGAGACGGGGGGTTGGTATGCAATCGACACCCGGCGAGAGGCGACCTTGTGGGCTCACCCAGCAGAGCGCGAGAGCGGGGAGAGCGGAGAGGCGGGAGCGTCGCGAGGGGGGTTGGCACATGGTAGCGGGCCTGGGTGGTCTCAGCTCGTACGGAGCAAATTCTTTTTGTTGCGGGAAAACGAATTCTTTTTCTCGCACGGGCAGGCGCCCCCCCTGACTGCTGCAACAGCAGCGCCGGTACACAGCGCTTCGGTTGTAAACGCTCCACCGCAGACGCCAATCCAGGTGGCATACGAAGGATGGTGATCACGCCGCCGACACCGAGTGCGACGAACGGGAGGGAGGAAGAATTGCAACCCACGATGGCAAACCGGTGTAGAGCGAAGTCGCCTCTATTTGTCACTCGCCATGCGCGTCCTTGGCTGACCCTCCAAAACTCCCTCCCCGCCGTTCGCGGCTCGGCTTGCGTATGCGGGTGGGAGCTTCGAGGACATGCAGGCGTCCCACCCCCTCCGGCCATCCCCCCGGCTCCCAAGCGCGCGGCCGCGACGCGCTGCGCACCCTCTTCCGCGCTGCACCCGCTCTTGGCACGGCCGTCGTCCGCCGAGATCACCTCCTCTTCGCGCCGCAGGTGCACAACCAAGGGCTGGCCACCTCCGTATCCATCATGATGAAGCCAATGGGCCAAAAAGGGAGAACGCTCCCCTCCCAGGTGGCCGGAGGGTACACCTCGGGTCGGCGTGCTGGGGGGGGCGCCGGTGCGCAAGCCCACTTTCCGGGCGACCCCGAGGGGGAGGAGGCCGGGCGAGTGGCAGCAATTCACTGTTAGTGTCCCGGGCCGCTGCGGTACCGTTTATACGGCCCCTCGTGACGTCTTTCCGATTTTGCATTGTGAGTCGTCCTCTGGCCAGCCGAGGGGCACCAGAACGGCATGTGTACTGGTGCTGGGTGCGGGTGCGGAACGGGCTTTTTTAAACTCGCAACCAAGCATACTATACAAGGACACCCTCGGGGGGGACACTCGGCGCATGTGCGACGCGTCAGGGTGGAGTTGGCGGTGGCCGAGCGTCGTCTCCAGATCGACTCGCAGCGCGGAGTCGAGGGGTGAAGCGCGTCGCGCTGCGACACTCGAGAGCCGGCTGGATGGCCGTAGGGCGCAGCCGACTTTGATGTCCTCGAAGGTCCGGTGCGCATTCGTCCTCTGAGACCCACGCGTACAGGAAAGGGGCGAGAACGAGGCCTTTTGAGGCGGACATTTTGGGGCGCGCATCCGCAAGCGCGTTCCACACAGTGCCCAAGGGAGGGAAGAGGACGGCACGACGCCACACCCTGTGTGTTACTCAGGCAGGCAGTTGTCTTTCTCTATCTCTGATTGTGGGAGAATGCGTGCAATGTGGGAGATGCGTGCAAGCGGATGTCCGCCAAATAATTTCCACCTGCAGTAAAATAGATTACTCGGCCAAAACTCGCGCGTCCCATCGGCCAGAACGAAGGGGATCCCCACATGCTGCCGCTATGCGCGGCGCCCCTGGCATCTGAGAGCGCTGCCTGCGACCTCGCCTCAAAGGTCTTCCGCGACCCTCACATAAACTTTGCGTATGGAGGCTCCGCCGACCTCCGCGGCCGTCCCAACGCGCTCTACAACTTTCTGTCTGCGCCGGGCCTTTCAGTCAGCGTGAAGACGGAGGAGGCCGTGTTCAAGATCCACGATGGAGCACTCACAATCAGCTGCATCGTGAGCTGGTCCGGCTGAAGCGTGATACACTCGGCGCCCGAGACAACGACACGCTCTCAACCATGAACAACCTGGCGTCACTGCTGAGCAAGCAAGGCGATGTGGAAGGCGCACGAGGGCTGTGGCAAGAGGTGCTGAGCGTGAGGCGTCAGACGATCGGCGGCCGGCACCCAGACACGCTCACTACGATGTCGAATTTGGCGTTTGCGCTCAAGGAGCAGAATGACCTGTCTGGCGCCGTGCAGATGAAGCGCGAGGTACTGTCGCTGAAGCGCGAGTGTCTGGGCGGCGAGCACCCTGACACCGCCGATGAGATGGCCGTCCTTGGCATGTGGCTTAAGGAGCTGGGCGAGTCAGCGGAAGCACTGGCGCTGCTGCGTGAGTTCCGCAGACTGACAACTCGAAACACTTCAGTGCTTAGCGGAATCATTCGCGAGCTAGAGGCACTCGTGGCTGCGAGTGCGACCGCGCGCGCAGCGATCTCGGGCCTGCAGCCATGATGCGAGCCGTGAGCGAAGAGATCGGCCGCGGATGATCGAGTACTCGATACCTGCGCAGGCCTCGAGTATGCGTGTAGCGCGCCATAAAGCGCGAGCCGAGCGCTCGGAGGTCGGAGGATCGGAGGATCAGAGGATCGGTGTCGACTCGTGTGACGGGAGATCGGCTGGCTTGAGCGGAGTCGTGGTGTGAGTGGAGTAACACATCCGCATCTCTGGAGTAATCGAAAGTCTTACAGTGTCGTGCGAGAGAGTTTCGATTTTACTGACGTAGGAGGGGGCCGGAGCCGCGGAGGAAAAAGAGTTCTCACAGTACTCGAGTAAGCTAAGGGGCTGTAAGGCTCGCGGCTATATGGGTGCTTGGGTGGAGGAACTAAAGCAGTCTCGCTCCCGATACGTGCATCACTTGTGCGCCGGTGCCGCCGGCACGATAACTACGACGCAGCACCGTTCATGCCCGCCTGCGCTAAGCTCCGCTTGCTTCGCCGGACGGGGCCCGCCGACTCAGCTCCCGCCGCAACCGCAGCTGCCACCATTCCCTCTTCCGCGACCACCGCCTCCTCGCCTGCGCCTGCTGCCGCCTCGCCCGGCAGTGCCGCCGACGCGTGGCCTGCTGGCGAGCCCGCTTCCGGCGCCTCCCCGACCGACCGCGCATAGGCCACCGCCGCCTCCACCGCCGTATCGAAACTGCCAAGGTGGACCTTCCTCTTTCCGGCCATATAGTGCAGCGCTTCGAAGCGGCCAACCTTCTTGGTGCTCTTGCGCACGTTCCTGTAGCCGGTGACGCTGCTGCTCGAGAGGTGCAAACGCAGCCCCTCCGCCTCTGACGGCGGCGACGAGGTAGCGCCTGCTGAGCCCTCCACCTCCGCCTCCTCCGCCTCCTCCACCCCCTCCGCCTCCGTGCCCTCCGCCGCCCCAGCCTCCGTCGCCGTCCGGTCTGATCCTCCCGCCCTTCCCGCCTGCGCCCGCGCGTACGCCACCGCCGCCTCCACCGCCGTGTCGAAAAAGCCGAGGGCGACCTGCCGCCCGTTCGCCATGTGCCGGGCGCCCCGCACCTCGAAGCGGCCAGAGTGGTGCTCGTACACGCCCTTGTAGCCGGTGCTGCTGCTGCTCGAGAGGTGCAGCCGCAGCCCCTCCGCCTCCGTCGCCACCGTCGGAGGAGGCGGAGGCTGGTACTCGCCGACCGCCCGCGCGTACGCCACCGCCGCCTCCACCGCCGTGTCGAAATAGCCAAGGACGACCTGCCGCCCGTTCGCCGTGAGCTTCGCCTCGAAGCGGCCATAGTGCTCGCGCACTCCCTTGTAGCCGGTGGCGCTGCTGCTGGAGAGGTGCAGCTTCAGCCCCTCCGCCTCCGCCACGACCGCCTCCGCCGCGAGCGGCGCGGCGACGGGTGCAGCCCCCTCTGGCGTCGCATCGGGCTCCGCCTCCGCCTCCGCCTCCATCGCCTCCGCGCCCTCCTCCGAGCCCTCCGCCGCCTCCGCCGCCTCCGCCGCCGCTGCGGCCCGCGCCGGCCCTCCCGCGCCAGCCGCCTCCGCCTCGCCGACCGCCCGCGCGTACGCCACCGCCGCCTCGACCGCCGTGTCGAAGATGCCGATGGAGACCTTCTTTCCGTTCGCCGCGTGCCGTACCTGGAAGCGGCCAGAGTGGTGCTCGTGCACGCCCAAGTAGCCGGTGACGCTGCTGCTCGAGAGGTGCAGCCGCAACCCCTCCGCCTCTGTCGCCACTGTCGGAGGCGGAGGCTGGTACTCGCCGACCGCCCGCGCGTACGCCACCGCCGCCTCCACCGCCGTGTCGAAGGAGCCGATGAAGACCCTCCTTCCGTCCACACTGTGCTTCGCCTGGAAGCGGCCAGAGTGGTGCTGGTTCACGCCCCTGTAGCCGGTGCTGCCGCTGCTCGAGAGGTGCAGCTTCAGCCCCTCCGCCTCTGCCACGACCGCCTCCGCCGCGAACGGCGCAGCCTCCCCTGGTGTCGGCGGCGACGAGGTAGCGCCTGCTGAGCCCTCCGCCTCCACCTCCTCCAACCCCTCCGCCTCCGTGCCCTCCGCCGCCCCAGCCTCCGTCGCCGTCCGCTCTGATCCTCCCGCCCTTCCCGCCTGCGCCCGCGCGTACGCCACCGCCGCCTCCACCGCCGTGTCGAAGTAGCCGAGGGAGACCCTCCTTCCGTCCACACTGTGCTTCGCCCGAAAGCGGCCAAAGTGCTCGTGCACGCCCCTGTAGCCGGTCCTGCCGCTGCTCGAGAGGTGCAGCCGCAGCCCCTCCGCCTCTGACGGCGGCGACGAGGTAGCGCCTGCTGAGCCCTCCGCCTCCGCCTCCTCCAACCCCTCCGCCCCCTCCGCCTCCGTGCCCTCCGCCGCCCCAGCCTCCGTCGTCGTCCGCTCTGATCCTCCCGCCCTTCCCGCCTGCGCCCGCGCGTACGCCACCGCCGCCTCCACCGCCGTGTCGAAAAAGCCGAGGGCGACCTGCCGCCCGTTCGCCATGTGCCGGGCGCCCCGCACCTCGAAGCGGCCAGAGTGGTGCTCGTACACGCCCTTGTAGCCGGTGCTGCTGCTGCTCGAGAGGTGCAGCCGCAGCCCCTCCGCCTCCGCCACGACCGCCTCCGCCGCGAACGGCGCAGCCTCCCCTGGTGTCGGCGGCGACGAGGTAGCGCCAGCTGAGCCCTCCGCCTCCGCCTCCTCCGCCTCCTCCACCCCCTCGGCCTCCGTGCCCTCCGCCACCCCAGCCTCCGCCGCCGTCCGGTCTGATCCTCCCGCCCTTCCCGCCTGCGCCCGCGCGTACGCCACCGCCGCCTCCACCGCCGTGTCGAAGGAGCCGATGAATGCTAACCTTCCTTCCGCCTTGTGCCGCGCGACGAAACGGCCGGGCGCGACCTTGTACACGCCCCTGTAGCCGGTGCTGCCGCTGCTCGAGAGGTGCAGCTTCAGCCCCTCCGCCTCCGCCACGACCGCCTCCGCCGCGAACGGCGCGGCTGCGGGTGCAGTCTCCCCTGGCGTCGCATCGGGCTCCGCCTCCGCCTCCGCCTCCATCGCCTCCATCGCCTCCGCGCCCTCCTCCGAGCCCTCCGCCGCCTCCGCCGCCTCCGCCGCCGCTGCGGCCCGCGCCGGCCCTCCCGCGCCAGCCGCCTCCGCCTCGCCGACCGCCCGCGCGTACGCCACCGCCGCCTCCACCGCCGTGTCGAAGGAGCCGATGGAGACCTTCTTTCCGTCCACACTTTGCTTCGCCTGGAAGCGGCCAGAGCGATTGGACACGCCCTTGTACCCGGTGGCGCTGCTGCTCGAGAGGTGCAAACGCAAGCCCTCCGCCTCTGTCGCCACTGTCGGAGGCGGAGGCTGGTACTCGCCGACCGCCCGCGCGTACGCCACCGCCGCCTCCACCGCCGTGGCGAAGCAGCCGAGGGCGACCTGCCGCCCGTTCGCCATGTGCCGCACCTCGAATCGGCCAGAGGGCTGCTCGCGCACTCCTCTGTAGCCGGTGCTGCCGCTGCTCGAGAGGTGCAGCTTCAGCCCCTCCGCCTCCGCCACGACCGCCTCCGCCGCGAACGGCGCGGCTGCGGCGACGGGTGCAGCCCCCCCTGGCGTCGGCGGTGCGGTCGGAGGCGGCGACGAGGTTGAGCCTGCGGCCTCCGCCTCCTCCGCCTCCGCCTTGGGCTCCGTGCAGCCCGCCGCTACCTGCGCCGCGCCCTGCGCAGCCGAGGTGCGACGACGCTTCGGTGGCCGCCTCGGCTGCCCCGCCGCCGCCGCCTCCGACCCCGCCTCCGCCGCCGCATCGGGCTCCGGCTCCGCCTCCGCCTCCATCGCCTCCGCGCCCTCCTCCGAGCCCTCCGCCGCCTCCGCCGCCTCCGCCGCCGCTGCGGCCCGCGCCGGCCCTCCCGCGCCAGCCGCCTCCGCCTCGCCGACCGCCCGCGCGTACGCCACCGCCGCCTCCACCGCCGTGGCGAAAGTGCCCAAGTAGTCCTCCCTCCCGCCCACGCTGTGCTGCGCCTGGTAGCGGCCAGAGGGCAATTTGCTCACGTTCTTGTAGCCGGTGGCGTTGCTGCTCGAGAGGTGCAAACGCAAGCCCTCCGCCTCTGCCGCCACCGTCGGAGGAGGTTGGGCGGGAGGCTGGTACTCGCCGACCGCCCGCGCGTACGCCACCGCCGCCTCCACCGCCGTGGCGAAGGTGCCGATGGAGACCTTCTTTCCGTTCACACTTTGCTTCGCCTGGAAGCGGCCAGGGTGATGCTCGTACACGCCCTTGTAGCCGGTACTCGTGCTGCTCGAGAGGTGCAGCCGCAGCCCCTCCGCCTCTGCCGCCACTGTCGGAGGAGGGGGAGGCTGGTACTCGCCGACCGCCCGCGCGTACGCCACCGCCGCCTCCACCGCCGTGGCGAAGGATCCCAAGTAGACCAGCCTTCCGCCCACCCAGTGCTGCGCCTCGAATCGGCCAGAGGGCTGCTCGCGCACTCCTCTGTAGCCGGTGCTGCCGCTGCTCGAGAGGTGCAGCTTCAGCCCCTCCGCCTCCGCCACGACCGCCTCCGCCGCGAACGGCGCGGCTGCGGCGACGGGTGCAGCCCCCCCTGGCGTCGGCGGTGCGGTCGGAGGCGGGAACGAGGTTGAGCCTGCGGCCTCCGCCTCCTCCGCCTCCGCCTCGGGCTCCGTGCAGCCCGCCGCTACCTGCGCCGCGCCCTGCGCAGCCGAGGTGCGACGACGCTTCGGTGGCCGCCTCGGCTGCCCCGCCGCCGCCGCCTCCGACCCCGCCTCCGCCGCCGCATCGGGCTCCGCCTCCGCCTCCGCCTCCATCGCCTCCGCGCCCTCTTCCGCGGCCTCATCCGCCGCCTCCGCCGCCTCCGCCGCCGCTGCGGCCCGCGCCGGCCCTCCCGCGCCAGCCGCCTCCGCCTCGCCGACCGCCCACGCGCGTCCACCCGCCGCCTCCGCCGCCGCCCTGGCCCTGCCCGCACGGATGGCGAAGCGCCGCAGCGCCTCGAGCAGCTCCTCCTCCTCCTAAGCGAGGGTAGGCGAGGGGAGGATGAGGACAGCGCCGGTCGCTCGCGGGCAAGTTCGACCCGAGAAGGCGATGCAGAGAGCGGCGCTGCGGGTGGCATGCGAAATGTGGGTAGATCGCACCAGATCCTCTTCGTCCCCGTCCGCATGTTCGATGTGCCAAAACGCCGGCTCGTCCTCCGCATCGCCCGCCGGCAGGTAGAGGCGCACCACCGCATGCACGTAGCCGTGTCCCTTCAGGCGTCGCAGCACCCGCTCACCGACATGAGGCCCCTCGCTGAGCCAGCCAACTTCGACCCGCGGCGCAGGCGCGGGCTCGGCAACCTCGGGAACAGGAGCCACAAGCTCGGAGAGCTGGATGCGGCCGCTGCCGCTGCCGCTGCCGCTGCCGCTGCCGCTGTGTGGCTGCGCTCCAGTTGCGCTCCGCGCAGTACTTTTTCTTGGCCAAGCCCAGCGGCAAACGTGGCCGCGCTTCTTCACGCCGCAGTAGGGACAGAGCGACCTGTCTGGGTGCAGCCCGTTCGTCTCGGCGTGGTGGCGGAAGGACAACGGACTCATCACAGCATATACACATGTCAACTGTCGCGCGGTGGGGCGCCGCCGAGGGTTTTTTCGTGAAATTCGTCTTCGTGAAATTCTTTTCAGAGCGCCTTCGTTGTTAATTGTTAATAATACAAACCCAATGGTCCCTTGCGAGCGGTCCTTCGTCGCAGTCGCACACACGCACACGCCACACCCACCGCGCGCCCGCCCACTGCCCCGCCCAGGCGGGAAAGAGATGAGGAGATGGGACAGCGAACCTAGATGTTAAGTCTGTATTTTGTGTATTTGGACTTGGGCTGAAAACTCAGTGTATTTTTCTTGCATTTTTGCTCCCTGCTACGAGTACCTGTGTTGTTATATATAGCGAGTTGTTGTGAAATTAATTCCTTTGGCGCCATTGGTCGCGACCATGCGCAAGAAAAAAAATCTGCAAAGGGGGGAGTGTGCGAACGAGAGAGTACACCCCAGGAGTGTACTCCAGACTCACCCCTATCCTCTGGCAGCTCACGGTCACGCACAGCCGATATGTGCTGAGTTCGCTCGTTGACCTGTCCCCCGCCGCCGCGCACGCACCTTGCTACACATGTACCTGCCCCATGTTCGACCTCCGGCACGCCGAAGAGGCGGCCCGCGACGGCCATTGCATGCACGACCGCCCGCGTCCCCCGACCCTCCCCCGCTTTCCTGCAGAGTCCACATGTGCATGCCCCGACGTCCCCTCGCAAGCCCCGACCCGCCCGTCCCCTTGCGAGCCCCACTCCCGAGACTTGGTACGCCGCCACGCGTCTACCCCCCGGCGGCGCTGCCTGCTCGCCTCGGTCGGTCGGCCCGCACGTACAGCCCGCCATGCGGCACGCGCCAGTGCAGCCCGCCATGCGGCACGCGCCAGTGCAGCGCTAGTTGGC